CTGTCGTGGTGGTCCGCCCGTCCATTGTCGGCTGCAGCTACAGCGACCCCTTCCCGGGGTGGGTGGATGCACTGACGGCCGCCGGCGGCCTGCTGCTCACCGTGTCCCTCGGAGTCGTGCGGGAGGTGCTGTGCAACCCCGACCTCGTCGCGGACGTCGTCCCGGTGGACCACGTCGTCAACGTCATTCTCAAGGCGCTCTTCAAGACGCAGCAGCACTACAAGGCACGCCGCCTACGCGCGGCCGCGGCGGAGGGCGGCGAGGCGGCGATGGCACCGCCGGAGGCAGTGGCCGGCGCGGTGCGCGGTGGCGGTGCGGTGCGGCTGCCCATCTCCGTCAAGGCCGGCGATGTGGCGGGCGGGAACGTTGAGACGTCCGGCGGCGCGGCGGTGGCCGGCGATGGCGGCGCGCTTGCCGTGGCGGAGACGGCGGCGCCGGCGGCGGATGACCTGGCGAGTGGCGCGGCGACGACGGAGGCGGACGAGGGGCTGCCGTTCATCTACCAGGCGGCGACGTCCGGCTCGGAGAACCGGACGACGTGGGGACGTGTGCAGGCGGCGCTGGCGGACTACATGAAGGGCAAGCGCCACCCCAAGGGGCTCTCGCCGATGGGGCTGACCATGACAACCAACCCACAGTACTACCGCGCTCGCTACTACATACTGCGCTACATGCCGTACGTTGCGCTGCGCTCTCTCATGCAGATGCCGCCACCGATCGGGTCGGCCAAGAAACTGGAGCTGGTGAACAAGCTCGGCCGCGCGGTGCGCCGCGCCGACCTGCTGACGTGGGAGTTCCTCGACTTCACGCTGAACGAGTGGATCTACGCCTCCGCCAACACGAGCCGCCTCGACGAGGGGCTGAACGAGCACTCCCGCAAGGCGTACACCTTCGACCCGTACGCGATCAACTGGTACGCCTACACGCAGGTGTATGCCTACGGCATCTTCAAGCACATCATCCGCGAGACGGCAGACTTCCAGATGCCCGTCGTGCCCCCGTCCGCCACGGAGGTGTTCGAGCGCGCCTCGTCGCTATAGAGACTGCCCCCCGTGTGTGTGTATGTGTATGTGTAGGTGTAGGTGTGGGTGTAGGTGTGTTGCCTGCGTTTGGACGTGGCTTTGTTGCCTGCCGCAATGATGTTCCCTTTTTTTTTTTTTACCTGTTGTTACCTCGATGGCGGGAGGCGAGCGGTGGTGAGAGGAGGAGGAGGAGGAGGAAGGAAGGAAGGAGGTGAAGGAGTCGACAGGGTTGGATGCTGCATCTCTCTGTGCGCCACCACCCCCCGCCTTCCCTTCGCCTCCTTCCCTTCCTTCTCTCTCATCTCTGCTGCTTCGCCGCTCTCTCTCTCTTCTCCCGTCTTGTCTCATTTACCAGTACCAGAAAAGGGGGGAGGTGAGGAAGTGAGGAACAATGGTGGGTTCGAGTTCCATTGCGCGTGCGTGTGTAAGTGTGTATGTAGGTGTAGGTGTAGGTGTATGGCTTAGTGTGCTTGATCCATGTACTTCTCAGTGTTCTTTCTCGCTTTCGCTTGGGGGTGTGGGGGTGGGATGGGGGCTCTCCAACGCCTGTTAGACGGCGTCCCCTCGGCCATACTTCTCTCCTTCCGTGGCTGTCTCGCACGCGCGTATGTCTCTGTGTGCATGTGTGTGTATGTGTGTGTGTGTGTGTGTTTCATTGTTCGACGGAAGAGGTCCCCCTCTCTCCCCGTCCCCCTCCCCCCACTCTACCCCCACTACCGCGCTGAAGCGTGCTCAGTGTGATGACAGACGAGCCACCCGCCGCTGCCACCGCCTCTCTTCCTCTCTTCCTCTCTCTGTTTCTCGAATGTGCCTTCTTTCTTTCTTCCTTTCTCAGTGCCTCCCCTTCCCACCGTGCGGTGCCCCCGTCTGCGTGTGAGGGGAGGGGGGGGGGGAAGGAGTGGCGCTGTCGTGGCCGCGACCGCGATCGAGTCTGAAGCGTTGTGCACCGACGCCACGACAGCGCCACTGCTCCCCCTCCCCCCCTCCCCTCACCTCTCCCTCTCCCACCCCGCTTCCCATTCCCTTTCCTCTCCATCACGTTCCCCGCGTTGTCGTCCTGCCCCATCTGGAGCGCAACAAGGTGAACAAGCAACAACAAGAGAAACCAAGCCAAGAAAGTAATCCGACGTCAACTGCGCGAGGACGTGCAGAAAAACAACAACAACATCAGCCGCCACTGTCGTCCGGTACATCTGTCCACGTTTACTCCTCGTCCCTTCTCCTCCTCCTCCTCGATTGATTGCCTTTCTCAGGCGCGTTCACGGCAGGACGGGATACGCGACGCCGTTGAGCAGGACAGCAGAGAATCGCGGTGGCATCCACTACCGACAGGTACGAGGGGTGTTGTCCACCGCGGAATCTCTCGTCCCAATGCGACGCCGTTTTATGTAAAAGCGCGAGAAGTGGGACCTTCAGGTGCACCCTCGCGGGGCTGTGCCTCCGTCCACTCGTGCACAGCCGCGCGAGAGATGGGGTGCCTGACGGGCCGAACCCTGCTCCGCTCCCCCAAAGTAACAACAAGGACAACAAAAAGAGTATCGTGCCTTCGGTCTCTCTTTGCTGTCTGTGTAAGTAGCAATAGGATCCAGTACAGATGAGAGGGTAGGAGTGAATAGAGTACACAAATGTCTTACTTCAAGCCGTGGTAAGTCATGCGTGTGTGCGGGTCGTCCAAACTGTGGCTACGTTGCCGCTGTTGCGGGTACTGGATCGGGGCAGGAGATTTAGAATCTCCTTGTTTGTCTCGACAAGGGTGGAGGTAGCTCGTTTTGCTGCAGCAGCCCTCCACCACGCCTCAAGCTGTCGGCGTGCCGATGGCGAGAGTCGGGCGGCGTCCTGCGGTCGAATCACGTCGCGGTGGAGGCGTCGTGCCGCCTTCATCCACCACCCGTAGTGATGGAGAGGGATTGCCAATGCTCGTGCCGCAAACCAAAGCCTGCCTAGCAGGCGCTCGAGCTCTCCTACCGTCAAAAATCGCAGATCGTGCGCCAACGTCAGGTGGCGATGCGCCTTGGCCCCCAAGGATACCGTGTGTGAGCTGTGGTCGAACGCGATCCCGGCGAACGTGTATTGGTCGGCCGAGGTCGTCTCGTCGTCGTTCAGCGTCACGTGTGCCTTGCGTGCTCTGCGTTCAGAAACTGCAAGGAAGTCGTCGACGTCCTGCCGCTCGCCTGTCCACTGCAGGTTGTCGATCCACGCGACGGTCGCAACACCTTTCGCCGCCCCAATCCGGGGCAAAGAAGTCGGGATCCCCGTCGATGACGGAGACGAGGGTGTGCATAAGCTCCCGGTGGCTCAGCGACGAACCCATCGGCAGCGCGCGCGCATCTGCCACACGCGGCCAAACGAGTCCGCGAAACAAAAAAAATAACTTCCTAAAGCGCTGGGGGCGGTGGACCTGGAGGAATGAACACGTCAGGTCGCACACCGCTCCCCACGGCGTCGCGGCGGTCATTCGCGGGACTGGCGGCACCTGCGGCCTCCAGGGGACCTCCCACGGTTGACGCGCTATAACTGCTGCGTCACACTCCCGGTGGCGATCAGCCGCGCCGCCGCGCGCGCGTCCTGCAGGTGGCGGGGCTCCGCGAGGGCGATGCTCACCGTGCTCGCCGCGTGCCGTGCCAGCACCCCCACCAGGTGCAAGGGAATGCCCGTGCCGACCATCTGCTTTGTGGTGTGAGTCAAGGCTCCCCGCTTGATACTGTGCGCCCTGTAACCTGCCAGCCGCGGGAGTTCGCGGATCTCGCTCGTCGCGAATGGGAACAAACGTGCGTCTTTCGACAGCCGTCGACTGCGGAGCTGGACTTGCAGGTACGCGGCGATGGTGGTAGCGGTGAGATCCCCCCCTCAACACCACCACCGGCATCTCCGGACGGAACGGACGCGCGCGACTCGTCTTCGTCGCCGAGCCGAAGTCGACGATGATCTGGTCCTCCCTCACCGACAGAAGTGAACGTTTTGTCACTCGTGCGATGTCGTCCCATCGCGACGCCGTCTTCCACGCCAACAACATGGCGACCCTCAGGCGGTCGGGTTGCGCCTCCGCAATCGCGACCAACGCCGCACGAGGGATCGGAGGTGCCAGGTTCGCCGGCCTCGCGCCACCCAAGCCGCGCTGCGACTGTGCGTACGTCCGCAGCACCTCGGACGGCAAACCCATCTTGCGGAACAGGTTCGCCAGCTGATTGGCGTATCCGACCTTTGTGGTCGGCGCCACGTCGAGGTCGTGGACGAAAAGCGTGGCCGTCTGGTCCGATATCGGCAGGGCGCGTTGCGCTGCGTACGCGTGGAGGCGCGTCCACAGCGACTCCATCTGCTTCCAGGTCCTTGTCGTCCAAAGGCCCTCGCGCATATCGGCTGTGAGCCGCGCGATACTGACCCTGAGGCTGCGGTACCACGGCATCCCACGACCGAGGTCTTTTTTCCTGTGCGCGTCGGTGTCGGTCGAAGGGCTGGCTGATGCATGTGAGCTCCTTTTCGGATGACCAGTCTCGTGCTCTCCTCCACGGCGTTACACTTCGCAGCGAGTGTGAAGCCGAGGCGGAAACCAAAGATGATTCTAAACCAAAAATAGCAGAGCTCTGGTCCTTGCGCGACGATGAAGGCGCGGGAGGAACAGGTCTATCCCGGCGTCGAGCAGGAGAGACACGCAGCCTCGCTGGTGATCCACGTGCGATGACATGCAGCCACGAACATGGGGGTCCTCTTCCAACACTCTCGCACTCTCTCCACAACCCCAGACACACACCCAACACACACGAAGCGAAAAAAAAAAAGGCGAAAAGCTATATCTCTCGAAGATTGACATCAGCCTTGCGCAGGGAGAGTGCTAATCTTCTCTGTTGAAGTTCCAGGTGGTGGATGTCCCCCGAAGGGGCTCCACTCAAAGGACACCCCGCCACGCACAGCGAACAGTGGTGTGGCACACACGCGTTTTCCCCTGTCGAGAAACACCCCGCATTGCCGCCACGACTCTCGCGCTCCTATAGTGTAGCGGTTATCACCTCGGACTCTGAATCCGATAACCCTGGTTCGAGTCCAGGTAGGAGTGACTTTTTTTTTTCTTTCCCCCGCAAGCTCCTACGAACGCGAGGAGCGACGACAAAAGAAAAAAAAA